TTTATTGTCAAATTAAAATATGAAATTAGTTTTTCTCATGGCAACAAAAGTACATAAACAACAAAGAAACATACGATCAATGATGATTAATTTTACATCACATGTACAGTATTAATTAGATCTCTATGTTTGCCGAAAATCGTTAATAAGAGATCAGGAGAAATTTGTTGACGCTTTATTTTGCCTTGTGATGTGATGATGATGAATTTTACTACTGTATATAAAAGTGTCTTCCCATCTAGGTACTATTTTATATTTCTTTTTTACCTCAGTCCCAACCACGTACGGCTGAAGTAGAGCTAAGAAAATGTATGATTACTGCACCTGTAGACAAAATTTGAATATATTATTTTTTTCTCAATATTTTTTGAAATTTTTAAAAAGGCCCCCACCCCCTAAATTGGCTACTGCTATCGATCGAATATCTTGATAAAGAAATCTTGTTTGTTTTTACTCAGTGTACCAGCTGATTATAACTCAAAGGAAATACCGATAGCCATGACTGAATTTTACTGAATGAACTTTAATATGGTTGGCAATGATGGTGGGGAGTGGGGTGGGGGGGAGGTAGGCAGGCAAGTAAAAAATGGAAATTATAGATGGTTGATGTCCGACACTTATAATTGACAAATAAAAAGGTTAAGGAACTGAAATTTTATTAATATTTATTTGGCATATTATTATGCATGCATGACATCGGTCTAACTGTTATACAGTCATAATAAAATCTATTTACCCATGGGTCGTAACCCAAGTTTGGGCCGTGAGTGAATTTTTGAGGGTCGTCTGATCACATCTGGGTCTCCAAAAGGTTATACAGAAAGTTTTAAGTGTTAAAATTAAATACTTTAAAAATCAGAACATTCGAGTCAAAATATCGAAACAAAATATTTTTAAAATAAAATACGATAATTTGTTACAATTTTGGCTATTGTCTTCAATTTGCGTGCCTGCATGCAGTGTACTATAATCTCAGTCAGACCGCCGTTTGTTTAATAGTGTTTTTGTTTGGATACATGTATCATGAATAGAGTAAACGACTCAATAATTAGCAGGCCCTATGTTATGATACAGATTTGAATCCTAAAAATAAATTCAAAAGGCGTCAAAGTATAAGTTGAAAGATTTTTGATTTTGAGACTGCTCTAGTTTTTGCGATAATGTACAATGAAAAAAAAACAAACAAAAAAAACAGTACTCGACAATAAATAAAGTAGTATTTCTACATCAGTAGGTCGATGCATTTCTGGTTCCATTCTACACTTAGATACTGATGAGATTACATTGAAAATAGCCCCAGGCCTACGTTACTAAGATTTTCTCTATACGTTCATGCGTGCGTTGGCCGCCGAGAAAACGTTGCGATGCGGGGAAAGTGACACACTTCAAGGTGTGCGCGACTACTAGACTGAACCGGGAAGCAAGAAAGCAATGCCTAAGCTAGGGCCTGAACAATTTGATGTTATTACAAGGCCTCAGGCCTAGACTTTACAACAAAATTTGTCAGGGTCATACATGAAATAATTCCAATTAATTTCCAATATTTATAGCTCTGTAATTCCTGTAAACCGGAAGAAATATATCTGTGATTCGCACACCAAACCTCGCGATCGCGAAGCTCGCACACGCAGGTCTCACTCTTCCGGCAACAAACAGATATGACCTACGTTGACCTAAATGTTGACCAATCATAATCAAGATATTTTGAAAACAGCAGTACGTACCGTGTAAAAGTCTACTTTTAAATAGTGCTGAACTTTTGGGTATAAAAAACACCTTTATGTACGTCCTATTTTAGTAAACTTTTAGTATGTTGTTTTAAATATAATTAGGTTTATATTTAGATCATAAAACGTTTTGTTGCAATTTTGTCCAGTCAAATCCGTATTTCCGGTGGACTCTCCCGACCTATTGCAAAATCAAACATGAAAAATTCATCCGCATTTATTTTTTGTGTGGAACCAAAGATACTAGAAATACAAGATAGAGTTCTCGCATTGTAAAAATGAGGCGGAAGTCGTGCCCAACGTAGGCGGCGCCCTTCTTTTTAACCATGCAAGTTTCCTATACTTCGTGCCCAACGTACAGGGCGCCCTTCTGTTGCTAAGTATATCCAGACGCAAAAGGCGCCCTTCCTTTTCCACTAATGGAGGAAAACTTTTTCACTAAGAGTGCGTCCGGCCATGCGATTCTGCGCTGTATTGTTGTTTTATTCTTTACCAAAGATCTTATAAACACAAGATAGCGTTCTCCGCGATTTACGCGTGCAAATTCTGTAATAAGGCATGAATGGCGCCCTCTTGCTAAATTGGAAACTTTTGACCGCTCGACTTTACCATTAGGGTATCAATCCTGTGAACAGCAGAACAGGAACCATCTCAGATCCATGGCAACAGATAGGACGCCCTCTTCCAAAGCTGATTACTTTTTCTCTTTGGTATAATAGCGCATGAATGGCGCCCTCTTGCTAAATTGGAAACTTTTGAACCTTGACCGACGCTTCTATTTGTTACGCGTAAATCGCAGAGAACGCTATCTTGTGTTTATAAGATCTTTGTTCTTTACTGATTCATGATTATGCTTTAATTGTTTTGTGTATTATTTGGATAATAGCAACGATTTCTACCGCCACCAAGGAGGTTATGTATTCACCGATGTCACTGTCTGGGTGTCTATTCCAGTTTG